TTTTGCTCTTTGAAACTTGATTTAAACACATCAAACACGTCCTTAATACACCTTTACATGTATAATATGCATACAGTTAGTACAAAAATGGGAAAAAGTCCCATTTTTCTGTGTTACTACAAGTCTTTTTTTATAGTCAACTGGTTGCCACAGTCAATCGAGTTTCACAAACAGTTACAGTACAAGAGAAAGCATTGAATTCACATCGCAAAAGTCAAACAAGACCACAATGTTTAATTAATCAAGTGCTGTCAAAGCTGTCAAAGTCCTGTCAAGGGTAAAAGTACATTGTGGAATGCATTGAATTCAGTTTTCATAATTTTTGTCTATAGATCTTTATAATTATATAGATAGAATAGGATAGATATTTAATGCTAGAGAATGCCACCTCTAAGAACTACTCTAATTGGATATATAATCTTAAAGTCTCTTATGTACATGTTTTTACTACAAGAAACATATCAATTATTTTGTTTCTTTTTGCTTGTAGTGTTTTTAACACTTTGGTTTCTTTCTTTGCCTCTGTGGGCACATGAAATTTTGCACAAAACAGTAGACACCGATTGACGATAGGATTGCTTTGTGCAACACAATAGTTTTTCAAAATTACCAATTCAATGTCTTGACTAGCTCTATGATAACCCTTTGAACGCTGGTACAGATTAATCTTGCACTGGAAACAACTAGATATAATCTTAAAGCCTTTTGTCTACATGTATCTATCCCATGATAAAAACAGTCTTGTATAGGGAAATTATTTGAGTGGCAAATAAAAAGCTAGAAGTCGCTGTCAGCATGCACTGAAAAACATGATCTCTCCATATACAATGTACACAAAATGATAGGTGTTCCTTCATGGATCAATCATACATTATTATTCAAAGTGAGCATGTATTTGCATATCTAGTGTCCCTTTTTTATCCACTGGGGCATTGTTTCACAAAACCTTCATAGGTACAACTTATTGAAATGCTTGTGTATTAAATTTACCTCGCATTTCAGTGCGACGTTGGTGGACTTGTACATATAATGTTTCGTGAAACTATGCCTTGGAAGACAATTACAATCATTAAAAGAAACCAATGTGGAAGAAAAATGAAAGTTAATTTGTACATCTACACCATACTGTATGTTTCTACTTATGTTCCTTTTTTGTACTTAAAAAAATACTATGTATTATCATACATGTATGCATGGAAGTGCACTTCATATTGTATCATCAAGTAAAGTTACTGCATATCGTCCCTATTTTCACGAAGTGACGGTAGTGAATGAAAACCGCATACAATTTGCGTGTGGATTTTCCTCACTAACATCACTTCCTGAAAATAGGAATGATATGATATCATTATATACTAAATTTGGCAGTTTTGTAAATGCAAGTTTTTGAAAATGATGTACATTTTATATTTAGTGTTCCTGTTAAAACATTTCTGTATATTTCTGTATACATATATTTTGCATAAGAAGGCACAGCTATATGTTTAATTCTACAGGCATTCATGAATTGCGAAATTGATAATCATGAAATAATTTTGTACTACAATGGACAGTGAAAAAAAGGCACTACCGGTATACGGTTGGAAACTGGTTTAGAATGTACATGTCGTCCCTATTTTCACGAAGTGACGGTAGTGAGGAAAATCGTAACGCAAAGTGAATGCGATTTTTATTCACTACCGTCACTTCGTGAAAATAGGGACGATGTAATGATCCCTGTTTGTAAACCTAGTGGCATCATTACGGTTAAACCTAAAGGGAACACTTTATTCCTTTCCATTGAAGTATAAGTATTGTTTTTAATAGAAGAATGCACTCTTAATAATTTTGTTTGTCTGGGAAGAGTTTGGTTGACCGATGCTGAAGGGTCAATGAACACTGGTAGATGTATTTCACTCTCTCCCATGTCCAATTATCTCTGCACCAGGTTGATACATCTGCAGAATGAAGTCCCAAGTAGCTTGAAGTCTAGACTGATGGAGGTAAATTGGCCATAGCTGAGTGGTAGGGATTGGCTTGAAGACTTTTCTGAAATTTTGGAGAAGGAAGTAAAGTACAAAATATATTACAACGGTTTTCATTATCTAATAAATTTTTGCATTTAGGATTTACTTAATGGAGCTGTATAGTGGAGGATTACAGTGCAAAACAGTGCACATTATTTATTGTCCTATGGTCTTGTGTATTGCAAAGGATTGAGAGCATAATGTATCACAATTAAGACAATGTGTGAACTGAAATATGTTGTGCAGATGGAATGAAATGGTGGTCATTACTTTGGAATGCATTTTCCTGAAATGTTTGTTCATAATGTACACATTCCCATATATCTGCTGGTCTCATATAGTAATACAATTGTATGTTTACCTTTGATTACTAAGTACAAACTTATGTATTATGTAGACTTTAACATTCTTAGAAATAGTATGAAAACAATTCTCAAGCTCCATGCAGTTTTTCATTTGGAACCCCAAATAATAAGTTCTAGTATCCACAAGGAAAGGGGATTGTTTATTTATTTATTTATTTATTTTATTTTTTATAAAAAGGGAGTCTCAAAACTTTATATAAGTGTATTGCAAAGATCTACCAAATATTTTTACACACTGTTTATGATCTTTGATGGTGTAGAATAGAGAGGCCCCCCTCCCTCAGAAATGAATAAAAGAGAAAATTGCATACAACGTCATGTTTCTTTGAAATAATATTACAGGTGAACATTCGATGTGAAATCATGCCCCCCGAAATTGGATCTGTAAGCAATCATGTTCTTTCCCATTAGATTGTATGTAAAAACTTAGTTTTACCTGTTAAAGGGTCAAAGACCTCCTTTTTAGTTGGATTCTGCCGGTGGTCAAACTGGGTTTAGGTATCCTGGGTAACAACTGCCGACATAGGTAGGTGATCTGTGTCAGGTCGGCTCCCTTGTGATTGCTGTCCATCGGTATCGATTTGACTCAAAGGCATGTACTGGCTTGACTTCGAACTCTGCATGTCATTCAGCTTTTTATACATGCAACAGACAAGTACATAGAGAGGAAGATGGAGTACTGCAATACAAATAATACCAACAATGATAGCCATTGCTGGTGATATTTGTGAGCTTTTTCCCTCTTCATTGCCATCTTCATTGTGTTCCTCCTCTTCAGCATCATCCTGTTCATTATCTTCTTGGTTGTCAGTCCTTTCAGTGCCGTCCTCCTTCCCAGTGGTATTTTGATCAGTTATGTTTGGAGTAGGCAAAGGTGAGATTGTTGTATGTGTTGGATCATTCTTGTACTCAAACCAGTGCTTCAGCGGGCTAATCAAGGTATCCCCATCTGCAAGGTGTAGAACAACTTTCAAATATATCTGGTCCACTGGTTTAAAGTCTCGCACAGTCACGTTGATTACAACTTTGCCCCACTCATTGTCGTTATGGGTAAAAATGATGTGCTCTGTTATATCCCATCTACCTCGATAATGGTCTGCATACATCTTGTTTACAATGTTTGGTCCATTTGAAAGAAGAAGATCATCATTCCATATCTGGAAGTTCGTTCCACTTGAAAGAAAATTCTGTGCTACCTGATGGTGAAGCAGTATTTCTATTGTCTTCCAAACTGTTTCACCGTCTGTCACAGTAACGGTCTCATCAGTCTTAACGCAGTTCTCTATAGGTGGGCTTTCACAAGCAGGCAGTTCTGTGTCGCCATAGGCTCCATTCAGAATGGCAAAAAGGATAACAAGGACTGGAATCTTCATTATGGTCCAAACGGCAAAGAAAATACTGTGAGCTGTTGAGAAATCTGTCTCTTTTTTAGTGACAAAAAGTGGGACCCTATATAGCCTCTTTTATCCAGTTGATAGATTACTGTAGATTTGTAAGCTTTTGTGTGAAAATTACGTTACGGATCCCGCATGTGTATGCAAGGTCGATGGAACAAAATTTGACCTCATTGCATCGGCCTCGTTCAACTTATTTACCTTTAGACATCCTAAAGTATCAAAGGTTATTTTATAATAATGATTTGTATACAGATCATAAATAAAAACATAACAAACATTCATTTTCCTATTTTTAAGTAATTAGTAGATATATATATATATACACAATCAAACTGCAATGACATCACGTGCTTAAATTGAGATCAATGTTTGTACAGGTAGAGTGGGAAATTTAAAGTACATGTACATATGATAAATTTCAGTTCATTGTTCTCTTTTGTATACAATGTGTATTTGTATTCACCCAGTTATTCTTTTTATTGACATGTCAGCTTTAGAATATAGACACATATTGACCCATTATTTGGTATATAATACATGTTTGCGATCATAAAGTGAGCCAGTTTGTATGCTTGGTAGGATAATAACGGCTGTTTAGCTTATATGACCTTTGTTTGTATTTCCCTTTCTGTGCCACCAATTTTTGAAAAATGATGATAGTGGTGTTGAAGTTGAACTGTTGTGCTTGTTTCATCACTTAATAAATTGTCCAATGCATTTCACCAAAACAAATTTCACATTATCACTTCATCATCATTGTTTTTGTTATCATTATTGCTCTTATTATTACATGTAGCTGAGTGCACTTGGTGTGTGATCTCACATCATAGATTTGATCATTGAAAGAATTCACTTGAGTTTCTGTCATTTTGATCCTACTAAATATCTTACTTGCAGCTCTTCCATTAGTTTTGGACTTATAAAGTTCTATCATTTTTTGGTGTGTGTAGGTTAACTTATATGTTCGTGTCATCCATACAGTCTCAAAACCAACAACAAGTTAATTGAAATAAGCTTTACCTGGTATATCTTCTTGAATTTTAAAAGATTCCACTTTCGATTGATACTACTTTACTCCTGTTGAAACGACTGTATAGACTTTTATCATGTTATTCAGAGTACTTATACTTTTCTCCCATTTTTTCTGTTAGATTTTTGACTTACAACTATATAGCTGGACTCTATCTTTTGGGTCACATTCAGTTGATTCAGTTTAGCAACATTTCTGTATCTCAATTGTCTTGTTTTTTGTTTCATTTCAGATCAAAGTTTATGTCCTGCCATTTCTTGTTCAACTAAGTGCCACTATGGGTTCAACATTGACATGAATGGCTGTAAGATGTGCAGTTGTAAGAAAAATGGTAGGTTCATTTTATTTTCTCAATAGCTTTCATCATGTATCTACATGTTTATTCTCATTCATTTTTTTTGGAATTATAATATAATATTTTCCAGAGATACTTTACTTGCTTTCAGTAACATTGAAATGCAGTAATATCGACACTTCACATAATATAGATTAGAAACATATGCCTCAAGTCACATACAGAATATGTCTATGCCTGTTATTGCATGGCAGTCTATGAAGACCCACTTTAGTGACAGAATATATACAGTCATTCACATCTAAATTATCCATACCCTAATACCAGGTTTTGCAATTTGTTAATTAAGTGAACAATTGATTTGTTGAGAATATGACATATTAAAGATTACATTTCAAAATATTTACCAAAAGCCCTTATTCAGCCAGTCCACCTTTTATTATCAAGTTACATATAACACAAAAATCATCAAATTCACAAGGGGTATGAATAATTTAGTTGTTCACTGTAGATACCTGCTGTGGCATATGTTGCTAATCTATATTTGGAGCTTGAAATCGAAATGAGATGTTAAGCAAATACTTATGGACTGCTCTACTGGTGGGACAAACTATCATTGCAGAGGTGATCTTGGGCAGAGCTACTGTATCTTCCCGAGCTGAAGGTAAGGGAAGATGGTATAGCCCCAGAAAACACCAAGGCAATAGTTTGTCCGACCGCCGGAGTATTAAGGAGGTTATTATTTGCTTTCTATTCCTAACAATATTTCTAGTAGATCTAGACCTAGAGCTAACTGTTAGATAATGTGAGATGTACACTCTACTCGATTCACCATGTAAAGATTGGTTGGTTGGTTTGTTTGTTTTACCTGACTGCTAAGAAAGCAGTAATCAGGGTACTGACAGCTTTAAGTCCTCTCCGAGGCCGGGACTTGGTAATTAGGGTTAGTGCCTTACTAGACCACTGCTCTACCACTGAACTATCATGCCTCCATAATCTAGATTCCACCATCCTGATTCCTCCATCTTGATTCCTCCAGACAGGATCCCAAACAGAGTGTCAAATCTTGTCATTTCCGAATAAATTTGTGACAAATAAATGTCAAAATTGAAATTTCCAACGAGAAGATGAAAACAAAAACTATTAAACAAATTTACACTCTCTGTCTGACTAATGTTCATGCCACTAAAGCTAATGCACTCTTCTGCCCTCCATTGTCTGTTTGCATGTTGATGAGCATGCAGAGGCGCTTTGCTGTGACCTATGTCACAATAGCCTATGCGTATATTTCACACAACCCGTTTGGATCTTCTCAAGAGGATGAAATAAGACTTTTTCAAGAAGATTTAATTTTATTATTTCTATTTTATTCTCTATTTCAGTGTACTGCCGACAAACAACCCCATTCAACTGCCCTTTGACATGTAATCATGGATATACCACCGATGTCCATGGATGTGATAACTGCAATTGTAAAATACAAAGTAAGAAATACAAAAGTACCTTTTAAATACATTGTAATGTTTTGTCTTGGTGTAAATATTTGCAAGTCCAAGCTCTTTCATCAGATATGGTACTGACCACATGTAAGATTTCAGTATATTATCTGAAGATTGTTTTTAATTAATAATTATTAATAACCACATTATAAAGTAAAAGGACATATTTCATGTCAATATCTGTTCAGAACTTCACAATACTGGGTAATTAATGTACAAATGCATGTCCTAAATGCCAAAGTTGGTGTGGAAATCAAAGAACTTATTTGTGGAAATAGCATTTGAAGACAAGACGTTTTGATGTAATTTTTTTAAAATTAAGTTGATAATTCATAGCCGAATGCTGCAGATACAGACACCGTTTTTTGTAGGCTTATATTTTAGTGATAGAAGAATGAATTATTTAACAATACTCAATCTAGATCATCCTGAACTTGTGAATGTATAATTACTTCATTGAATGAATGATATCAAATATATACATTTACATGGGCTAAAGGGCCCAATTAACAAGTGATTTGTATTTACTTTGACTTGATCAGATGTCATCGTCAAGGGTTTTGATCCACAGCAAATAAAGAGTTTTAAAAAATCCATGGAACTATACTTTTCCTGTAATTATGTACATGAATCGTACCAGGGGCCTAGCTGTTCCATAAAACTTTCTCTTTTCAATATCAAGCATAATATTTCTACAACAATTCTGACAGCCAATCATTTGCTGTTATTTTGTTGCTCACCGTTGATAGGAATTTTCATGAAACGGGGTCCAGCTTGAGAACATGAAGAACCCCAAGAATTTCTTGCAAGTTACATTATTTCTATGAACATTACGCTAGTATGCCATTATAAAACATCATTTATACATTGATAAACTTGATTTGATTTGTAACAGGATCGGAGTGCCATGACCACCCCTGCCTGTCTCCCATGATGCATTGCGCGTTTGGACTTGCAACTGATAGCAATGGGTGCGAGATCTGCTCCTGTAAAATGCCAAGTAGGTGGACAATTGTTGAACTTTGTACATTGGCACAAATCTCACAAAAGAATTCTTATTTCCTCACTCACGCTTTCATCTTCTGCTAAATGTTATCCATTAATTGTTTTTTAAATTTAATCTGGATTAACTAAAAATATTGATGAAATAGAATAGGAAACTTGATTCACATATTTGGATTATGAGTACCTTTTATGTTTTCATTTATTTTCTTTCTTATAAATATGACAAGATAACACTTATGTACATTGTTGCGCTTCTTTCCACGGAACTTTGCCAGAGTCATTACAATGAGTTAACTATTTTTCTACCAAAACTGTACATGAACTTTAAAATCATTTTCTCATTCTTTGTGTACATAATACATTCACCAGTTGCCATTGGCCTGGTCCTTGCTCCTGGAACCAAACCCAGAGACTGCGTCGCTCTTTCTACCGGGTCATGTGACCTGTCATGTGATCATGGATACAGATCTGACCATCACGGATGTGAGATATGTCAGTGCATGAATCAACCAGGTACATGTATGCACATTACGGGTGCATTAATCAACGCAGTTTTAATTACTTGGTGTAATCATTGTTCTTTTGGGATAGCTGTATAGATCAGGAGAAGACATCATAATGACTTAAAATGTACTCATTTTAACTTTAAGAGTATCACATTCAATATGAAAAAAGTTCACATTAAAACCATAACCATATTCTGTTACAGTGATTTCACCCGTAACAAAACATTAAATAATAACAATATAGTGTGGCATTGTCTAAATCTGTATTGTGTGTAGATATATTTGATATTTTATTGTATTCTTTGACTTTACATGTTTTCGATATAAAAGTGGTGGGTTACAAATCAAATTCAGTCAATTCAATTCAATATTCAGTTGAATGAAATGGAGGTATTTTCCAGTTTTGTCCTAAATTTGACAAATTTTACTGTTACTCATCATCTGTTGCTTCAAGAAAAAAAGTGTTGGTGTGAATTTGATAGGAATATAACAACCTTTTTATCTTGGTATCTGATTTGCCAACCTATTTGGATACTTTTGATGTAGTTTTAAGAAGCAGATGTGGCATATAGTGATCAACTCAAATCAATAAATCATTCCTGTTTGTCACTTCTCTTTGTCTTTGAAGATGATTGTCCGTCGATGGCCACCTGCAGGTTGCAGTCCAAATGTCCGTATGGACTTGCATCAGGTCCAGATGGCTGTCCTACATGTGCATGCAAACACCCTGGTAAGTCATTCATGATCAGAGATGAGATACAGACCAGAGGAGAATTAAGAAGAAGTATTAACCTGTTGATTCCTGAATTGTATAGGTCCCATAGGCTTAACACAGGGACAACCAGGTTCCCGTAAGCAAAGGGTTAACCCATTAGCAACAGGAACCGGATGGCTCCTCTATTAAGCCTATGGGAATGAGAGCATTCATAAGTCAACAGGTTAAAATTATGACAATTACACTCTACATTTCGTTACCCCTCGAAACGGGTTTTAAACAAAATAATGTATCTCTACTGGGAATGTACTAACTTGTTTTTGTATGTTCATATTCTCTTGCTATCAATGCTAACAACAATGTGATTTTACATAGCTGCTTTAATATGTCCATGTAACATTTGTAAGAACATATCATGTGACAGATATTTATTTCAAAGGAATAAAGAGCTATTTAAATTTCCTGGTATGTTTCCTACGGTTAAGGATAATAATCATTAATGAGCAAGATACATTTGGTGTGTTAGTTTCATTAGAGTTTCAATGAAAACAATGCATGCTTTTCATTCCCTTTCCATTATAATTTCAAGACAGAGAGATGGATATATTTTCAGTGTTATGAAACAGACCCCTTCCTCTCTGTATGCTCTTCTCCTGATCAGTTAGTAATCAGTTGAACAAACCAATATTCTGCAACCCATACAAGTGATTCCTCTTTCATATCTTCCATTCTTTCAACAGGTGTTTGTGACCCACTTCCATCCTACTGTGATCTTGAGTGTGAACTGGGCTTTTCCACAGATAAATTTGGGTGTGAACTATGTCTATGCAAGAAAACTGAAGGTAGGAGCAAGATTTTGAATATTTTCTGTCACCGATATACTCTTCCATCCAAACTACATACATGTATCTTTCGCATTAATGTCAGGGTTCGGTTTCTATAGTGAAACTGTTTTAACTCTTCGGATATGATTTCATTCTGTAACACACACTTTCCATAGTCGTCATTATCATCATCATTTAGTAAATCACATTTAATTTCCCTCTTACGAGGGGTTACTGACTTTTGCGCCATGATGACACTTCCTCCTTCCATTTCTTCCTGTCTTGAGCATTTTCCTCATTTAGACCAACCTTACTGCCTTCATGCTTCCCAATGTCGTTCCAGAAAGATCTGAGGCTTATTATTCAACAAGTAAATCAGATTTATTGTAACGAGGCCAAGTGGTAAGGACTTAAGAAAGGGAAGTAGTTCATACATTTGAAGCACGTTAAGTGCCATCATTTCCTTTAGTGCAAGTGAAGCCATTTCTTGTTAACCATACACGCCTGTGAATAAATTCAATTTTGCATGTGCATTCTGTTCTTTTTAAAAGGTTGCCCGGTTCTAGAGCCTTGCCCTTTGACGTGTCCTTTAGGATTGGCTACCTGCCCTTGTCAATGTGAGATCTGCAAGTGTAAGCTTCCAAGTGAGTACAAGCCAGCTTATACACAAGCTTTTATGAATACAATAGTAAACATATCTTTTGTGAGCCAGAACGGTGTCAAAAGGAGAGTCCACCCTAATATCAACAGTTGGTTTTGATAGAAGCAGAAAAATGAGAGTAACAGGTCAGTGAAAGTTTGAGCAAAATCCAATTAAAAATAAGAAGTTATGAAGTTTTAAAGTTGCGAACATTTGATGGCCTGTAGAGGGTATTATGTGGATGATTGATATCTTCACAAATCACATCACGTTGAGGGAGGGCTTTGTCAAGAAGGAAGTGTAATGCCAAGATGTCAATAATCATATCTTTGCTCAAGATAAGTGATATTTCGTATATTTAATGGTTGTAAAGATTCCATATAAATTGGATTATGTTGCTTTCTCTTCTTTAATTATATTGTCACAGCAAGGTCATTAAAAAAATATAATCAAATCTTCTTGCACTTCACAACACAACAGTAGCAACGGTATTAACACAATAAAAACAAATAATGAACTACCTGTGACAATGAAGGTTGTGGGTTTTAATCAAAATCACCCCTTCAAAAGCGATTACTTAGCTCATGCGCATAATTAACATTATTATTATTATTATTATTTACATTAATATGTAAAAGGTTTGTAACATGATGTTGTTTATTTGAGCAAAGCCATGTACTCTGCGTCAAACTGTTATAGATATGAGATAAAAGTGTAATGATTGAACACCATGTAGTAAGAATAGAATTACATTAAATCTAAATGAAATATGTCTTTGCCTAAACCTGAAAGCTATTATTATAAAGTTGTTATCATATATTTTGGTTTACAGACTCGTACACTCTGAGTGTCCTATCAGACCTGACTGCTATTCCAATCTGGAATGAATCTGCTCCGTTGGAATCTGAAATCTCAGAGAGTTTAGTCTGTCCTGAGCTGAACTGCCTAGCAGCTTGCCCCTTTGGCTATGCCATAGAACCCATTTCTGGATGCCAGACATGCCATTGTAAAACCAGTGAGTCTAGGATGGATGGACCTTCAGCCATTTAAAATCAATGCTACAATTCTAAAGCTCTCATTTTTCTAATTCCATAATTATTTATTTTCCTGTTTTGTACCCAATTGTGTTATCCATTACATTATCCATTTACATATCTTCCTCTCTTTTTGCCCCTTTCCTAATTATTTTTCTTGGGAGAGGGGGAGGGGGGATTGCCAGCTGGCTAATATAGGCAATTGATTTAAAATTAGACTTTTGGTGGTAATGTTTACCATTAGCTGCACAAAAATAACTTGAAATGATTATGACAGGTAGATGAGAGGAATAAAGGCATAACTTTTATGTTGCTTGATAGGGATTAAAAATGGTCAGTAGCATCAAGATAACCTTTAATCTTGAGCTCTGTTACCACAGTCCTTTTTTGTTACATGGGTGTGGTCCTGTCTGTATGCTGGGTGGTGGGTGGGTGGCTTGCTCATTGTCTTTGATGGCAACCTTTTTGAGAGAGGCCCCAGTTTAATCAATCATTCGCTGGAAGTTGGTAGATGTGTTATTTAGAACACTTGTTGTCTAATGTTTGTATGATATACCTGTACATGTGTAATTATCCATCCCCTCTTTCTCTGTCTCTCCCTCTCTCTTTCTCTTTCCCTTTTCCTTCCCCTCTCCTTATCTCCATCCATCTATTTCTACCATCTTTCTTTTTTCATCTAAATCTGTCTCACTTTCTTTTTTTGATTTCTTCTCACTTTATATCTCCATCTGTCTCCCAATCCCCCTCTATTTAACTGTATATCCATCTCTCTTTCCTTTCCTCCCCCTCCAAATCTGTCCATTTATTTTTTCCCCCTTACCCCTCCCCCTTATCTCAATCCATCTTTTTCTATGTTCCCTCCCCTCTCTCTCCTTATCTCTACCATCTCTTTCTCTGTTTCCCTCTCTCTCTCTCTCTCTCTCTCTCTCTCTCTCTCTCTCTCTCTCTCTCTCCTCTCTTTCTTCTCTGTCTCCCTGTATTAGGATTGAGATGCCCATCTCTTCTTGAACCGAAGATTGCCATGGAAACGAGATGCCAGACCAATGGAGACTGCAGGCATCCTCATCAGCTCTGTTGCTACACCGGTACTCGCTTCATGTGTATGGATGCTGTGGAAGACAGTAAGTGAGAGAAGTTATCCAACATTAGCTCCAGGGATAATTTGATCAAGTTTTATTTTGTAAAAGATATAGCATTAAGGCTTTATTTGCAATGCTAGGTTTAGGGTTAGGGTTAGTGATATAAGTACACATGTGGTGTTGGACAAAGGGTGGATGATATCAGTACTTATCAGTAATCCGAAACTTTCACGTGCATGAGACTTGCGAATGCTGCGAGTGGTTGATATTTGCCATGATGTTTGTGCAATGAAAATTGTCATATTTAAGAATTTGTCTATAACATTCAATATTTGTCTTTATCATAGGTTGCACAGATGATTTTGGCAAAGTTCACAGTCATGGGCAGGTGTGGAACAAGGACTGTGACACACAGTGTAGCTGTTTCCATGGTAACATCAGACATACCCATTTCCAGACCCCATCCATTCCTGGGGGTTGCCAGTATGAGATAACCCCTGGCCATTGTTACTACAGCTACACGTGTGGTGAGTTATCCATTGATATGTATATTAAAGCTTTGTTTTTGTAATACTCAAATATGTTGTTGTCAGGAATCAGACACATAATTTAAGAAGATACTGTATTTTTGTAATAAAGGTGCTTTATTCTTCGTCATTTAAGATTTCTTGAAAGCTACATCCCGTTATTTTTCCCTTGCCAACCCTTTTTACAATGGTATAGAATAATCTTGCACTGGAAATGGTTAAGTATTCTTGAGGCCTTTTGTATATATATATATATATATATATATATATATATATATATATATATATATATATACACATATATATATCCCATGACAAATATAGTGTGGAGTTTAAACTTAGGGTAAAAGATAAAGAAACCTTTGAATACACCCCCCAATTAATTTATGATCATGTGTCAGTACGTAATTGCATGTTTATCCTTCATTTTGGTTGGCAGTGAATGCGACATGCCAGGATACAGAGGACTCCTGGTCTGTCGATGAGTGCACCCAGTGTTCCTGTCATGATGAAAGCGTTACCCCTCTCTGCACCCGACTACCCTGCCCAAAGGTTCCTCACGGATGTCATGCAGCAGGGGTGGAGGATTCCTGCTGTCCTGATATCGTGTGTCCAGGTATGATAACAAATTAGTTCAACAATTCCAAATTATTTTCTTGTCTTTGTCTATGATATCGTCAGAAAATTGTGAAGAAAAAAAATTATGATAATTTCTGCTGTAACAATAGCCTTCTCACTGTCATTAGGATCATATTTTGTATGAATATGATAATGATATGCAACAAGTGCAATTTTAGAATATGTGATGGTGACGTTTAAAGGTCGGTCCCCAGACGTAAATAATCGTATCTGATTGATACACATCAGCTGTAAAAACCCAATAAACACACACACACACACACGTTCCACTTTTTCCTATATAATTTTATCAGAGCTTACATATTTCATAATTCATGCTTGTGGTAAAACATGAACTCTCCTCCTTTTTTTCTTAGGCTGCAGAGATGCTGGAGGTCACCTTAAAGTTGAAGGTCAGATGTGGAATGATGACCTTTGCACCTCTTGCGTCTGTGAGGAAGGTCAAAGGTCATGTCGCAGGATGGCCTGTGAGATCCCTCGTCCTGAATGCCAGCAAATATTCCTGCCGAATCAATGCTGCCCTAAAGTCATATGTCCTGGAGGTGAGTGAACTAAATTTTGTTTTTGTTTTCAGTTATTAACATGCTGAATAATTTTTTTCTTTGATTCTGATAATGATCCATTTGTATATTGATTAATAATTCCATTACAACATTTTTCTAATGTACAATCTAGATTTATATAGCACCTAATACAAAATTCCACCTCTTAGCGCTTTACCCCTGTGATCTGATTTATTCATGCACGATGTGCACCATATCCACTCCCTGTGTAGTATTCCTACCATATGGTCACAGTGAGGGCATATGGCAACACAAAGGCCTTTGTCATCCTACCCGGTCCCCATTTCTCTCCTAGGTATGGAGTGGCAAATGTAGCTGACAACTATTCCCATTTTAGAGGAATGATTCCTATTTTCTGCCTTCAAACTACATGTAGTGTTATGTTTCCGATATTCCTCACTTTTCCTGAAAACATAATTATGTATAGAAGCACTTTAGATACAATTTACTGAAATACTTAATTTTGACTTTGGATATTTAAAACTTCTGCTGTTGTAGGGTAGCAAGCATGAATTTATCGTCGGCCGGGTGGCAGAAGAGCGTAAGCGCCCGAGCGACTCAAAAACTACTTTTCAAATTCTTCGCATTTAAAGATTTGTTTTATATTTAAACTGCTTTCCATCCCGAAAATTGGTTTAAAACATAAAAGACTAATAGAAATGTTGTAGTAGAACACAGCCACAATTTTTTTCTCGGAAATAAGTCAGTTTTATGAAAGTTTGAGGCGATTTAGTGCCAATGCCCTTCTGCTTTAAGTTTCATTATTGACCTGAAATTCAAGCTAACGCCCTTCTGCCAGCCAGGCGATGATATATTCATATCAGTAGAAACTGAAGCCAAGCACAGATTCATGTATTTAGATTGGTTAGAAATTAAAAAAAGATTACATCTCATCTCATGCTTAGATTTTAAGAAGCCTTGTGAAGCGATACGTTCCATGAGGAATCCATTGCAGCTGCTTGATGATAGTGCCACACACCTACCTGGCCCTTACATCCCATCCTGTATCCCAAAGAGTGGCTTCTTCAATGCTACTCAGTGCTACCCTGCTGAAGGCTTGTGCTGGTGTGCAGATCATCTTGGTAGGGAGGTGGCAGGAACAAGGACAAAACATGGCATTCCAGACTGCTGTAAGTAGCTTGAAATATTAGCTTGATTGATCTTGATAGAGATAGAGGGAGAAAGACCAAGGGAGAGTGAGAGAGAGAGTGATGGAGAGAGAGAGAGAGAGAGAGAGAGAGTGAGAGTGAGAGAAAGAGAGAGAGAAGAGAGAGAGAGAGAGAGAGAGAGAGAGAGAGAGAGTGAGAGTGAGAGTGAGAGTGAGAGTGAGAGTGAGAGTGAGAGTGAGTGGGTGGGTGGGTGGGCGGGTGGCTGAGTAAGTGAGTGAGTGAGTGGGTGGGTGGGTGGGTGAGTGAATGAGTGGGTGGGTGAGTGAGTGAGTGAGTGAGTGCATGAGCCTGTTGAGTGAGTTAGAAATAGATAGTCTGTTCTTTTAGAGTACTCAGTGCTACCCTGGCATTTCAAACTGCAGTAAGTGTTTTGAAACATTGTGTCAGATCGGGGGAGAAAGAGAGGGATCGAATGAAAGATATAAGCAAAGAGAGAGAGATGTCTGCTCAGAATAGGGGAGATTATTATTCAACATTTTTTGTTTGGAATGGGATTTATGGAGGTGTTATCTCCAGGCCAACTTTCACCATGAGAAGAAGATCTGGAACCATGATCATTGAACCACCTGTACATGTAGGTGTGTTCTAGGTCTTTTAATCTTTGTCATCACTATCGCCATCATCATCATCATCATCATCATCACATCATCATCATCATCATCATCATCATCATCACCATCACCATCATCGTCATCATTATCATCATCATCGTTATCCTAATTGTTTTATTGCTTTTTTTATGAAGGGGATTACGGATGTGTAGATCTCCAGGGCAGCTATCACCATGAGAACGAGACCTGGAGCCGTGATCAGTGCACCACATGTCAGTGTATCCGAGGTCTCCTGGTCTGCACTGGGCCTCGGTGCAGGAAGCCACCACGGGGCTGTGATGTGCTTGAAGTGAGGGAGGACTGTGGATGTCCACAGTACATCTGCAATGGTTGTAAGTAGAGTCAATACTCTCTCAAGTCTCATTCGCATACAATATACAGAATTAAACCCTTGATGAAGCAAAGTATACTGCATATATAAAGTGATTATATTTAATCGTATCTCAATAACTCAATCTTCCATAATCTATAGCTGCTCAGTTTTATGGAATAACCTTCCTATATCAATAAGAATAGTAAGATAATCAAGCAATCTAAACGATTATATAAGCAATCTCTTATTACAAAATTCTAACTACTTAAAATGTCAATGTTTATGCAATGTTTCTCCTTTTTTTTCTTCTTTTCTTTATCTTCCCTTTTTTTGTAATCTTGATGTTATGTTAGTTGTGTAGACAAGTTATTGTTATTTTGTGAGGATCTTTTGTTAACAAGCCATTTATGTTCTTTTCATGATCCTCCCACTTCAGATATCTCATTATGAATAATATGTTTGTATTCTGTTTTTATCTTGACATGGAAATAAATAAATGTAGATATTAATATACATCAATCATGATTTTGTATATGTAAAACCTCACAGTTGAAAATGTTTGTGTGAGTGTGTAGGAGGGGGGGGGGGTGCAATAACTAATCTGTATGTAATGATATAGAGCTGAGACAGGATGTTTGGGGGTTGTCAAACAGTAGCCAGACATTGCTTGTATAGATGTATTAATTTATTAAATATATACATGTATTACATTATTTTTCAGTCTGCTTTGATGATCGTCACAGCATCAAGCTTCTTGGTGAGTTGTGGCACACGAGTGACTGCACCCAAAGCTGTGAATGTTCAGAGAATGGTGTGATAACATGCCGGGAGACAGTGTGTCAAGATCCTCTGCTCATTCCTGAAGGCTGCTTTCACAAGAAGCGGTCGCCAGATGATTGCTGTCCCTCTGTGGTGGTGTGCTTTGATGGTACAGGTATGTGACATTTATTCTGTGACCTATCAATCCTGGGGGGTGTTTCACAAAACTTGTCATCAGTGACAAATGACAGTTTTTGTTATACCGTATTTGCTGGCGATAAGGCCACAGCACTGCATAGGCCGCACCCCAACTTTGACATTTCAAAGAGGGGAAAAAACAAAAAACAAACAAACGGACAAAACAAAATAATCGTAATTTTCTCGTAAAACACTATTTAAAAAAAAAAACTGATACCAAATTCATCAATATTCTTATTATTTACCGGAATTTTAGCTAAAAAAGTGATTGCAGGCAAGTTTGGTGTCCGATATACCCACAATGTACGGTGTAATGCGAAGTCGCAGGCCTGATAAAAACCCGATCTATTTGATTTTTCCCCGATTTTTTTTCTTCTTCCCTCTTTTATCCTGATTTTATCGATTTCCCCGTTATTTTCTCTAATCTTCCCTATTTTGCCCTATTGTTTTCCCAAGTTTCTTACTCAATGGGGGGAATGTTGTTAGATGCCATTTTTTCCCCGCGAATCCTTTTTCTCTTTTTTTTACTCAAGGGGGGGGGGGGGGGGGGGGGGGGCGTGGTTGAGGGGAAAACAAAAAACCTATTTTTTTTTTAGTGCTCACTATCACCCCTGGAAATGGAAAACAAAATGGCGACTTTGGATGGATGCTTCGCGGCAGCTCCTTTAAAGGGTCCCTTCCTTTACTTTTGCAATGCATTGGCACGAACTTAGATCAAGATATATTGGCAAATGTTGTTTTAGGAAGTTATTTTCGTCTTCATGTCAACAATGCAAGATAAAATTGTTGGTAAGATGTGTGGAAATGTCCTGTACCATAGTGGTATAGTTATTGTATGTTCGTAGTTCCATATGTGCAAATTCGTGCTGGTTTTGACTTTTTTAATTTTTTTTTTTACCTTTTCGCCGCAAAGGCCGCACCCCGACCTTTTAAAATATTTTCTCTTCCAAAAATACTGTGGCCTTTACGCCGGCAAATATGGTAAGCTAGTGAAATCCTTGCTTCTGATTGGTTATCAGCAGATTTGTCACTGATTTTTGTCATTTGTCATTGAAAATGGTACAGAGACAACTAATTTTAAACATTTTTTCAATGTGTTGCCACTTTTGATTATTTAAATTCTTCAAATTCCTGGTGTGGATTGACAAAATTATAATTCAAAATACCCATTAACTTCCTCCTGTCCCCCTACATCATATTTTGTAGTGTTACACAATCTGGATAGGGGGCATGATGAAAAGGTTGTTGATTAGTTACCTTGTAGCCATATAAATGTAAATAGCCTTGAAATGATTATATATTTAAAGGTAAAGATCAGTTTTGGAAACGCCCTCCCTCTCAAAAAATGAAATGGAAGCTCTTATTACCAATCATGTGAAAGAATATGTTTAACTATGATGATACAAATTTTGCCCAGAAACCGCCTACTAATTGATATATTTGGTAAATTATGATATATCTTTGGACCTGATACTATCGCGCACGTGTCGCATAGTCCCATATACATCTTTCTGTGTACAGTGCTTGTAACTTTACGAAGACTGGGCCAAATTTCTTATCATTTTGATGATTCCAGAACCTTGCAGTACACACCAGTACTTATATGCTAGATGGTCAACCTTTTCTGATCGATTCCACAATGTTTCTTTCACAATGCAATCGCATGACCATAACTGGTCTTTATCTTTAAAGGATACTGTTGCTCTTTTTGGATCCGTCTGATTGCCCCCATTTATGATACCCATGTAGCCCTCATTTTCCTGACTCTGGCTGATAACTTAATAGATTTGACAGATCTTGTTTTACCAGCCTTGTACCTGTGTAGCCCTCTGTTTGAATGATCGACCCCATGGTTATAATTCCAGCCTTGTCTGATTGACCTTAAGGTAGTCTACCCCTGTAGCCTTCTGTTTTACCAACCGTATTGACCTAAGGTAGTCTACCCCTTTAGCCTTCTGTTTTACCAACATGATTGTCCTTGTGTTTTACGAACCTCTTGACTAATAATTTCAAAATCATTTATTTCTCTAGACTTGTCTGAGTGCCCTGCTGGTACACGATATGTAGCTGTCTGTGTGACTGACCCATGCCTGGATGCCACCTGCCTTACCCATCCCAATGCTATCTGTCATTCAAACTTCTGTGGTGAATGCAGATCGATCTTCTATGATGAACAGAACACAGGTCCTATTGACTGCACAAGACTAGCTGACTCACCTCAGACAGGTAAATGTAATTAATATGATGCATTTTCACTTGAATACTATTAAAGAATGCTAGTGTTTGGGTCGCACAAGCAATACAGCTTCAAGTTCTATCTGAAGGAGCTATGTGTTCATAATTGTTCTGGTTAAATTTGATGAGTGGAAATTAAAAAAACAAAAAGGATTCAGTATGTCTCTATCCACTGCTATTCTTCAATCTTGTAGTACCAATCATCTCTTTTAAATTTGGAACACATCATGTATAAATATAAATGCCTTGCGAAAGGCCACTAGTGCATCAGCTTGGTTTTTCTTAAAATTTGGTAAATACACTTACCTGTCGCCGAGATTTTAGTTGGCATCTAAATTTGTATGATTCATTGTGATGAAATGTTTCTGTGTTATTTGTGATGTAATATTTCATAATCTCTTTTTCTGAATACAGTACGGCAATATGGGACCCACAACATCAGCTGCCATGCACTGGTAGAGCAGACAACTGCCAACGATTCAGCTTATTTCCCACGATGCACAGGATACAACACATACTCCGCAAAGCAATGTGATTCATCAGGGTCATGCTGGTGTGTTGGGCCAGATGGAGTGCATGGAGCAGACAGCGACATGGAAGCAGATAGGACTGAGTTATGTGTCGAAGGTAGGTTGGATATCAAACAGTGTAAAAGTACTTTTCTGTTTGCAGTAGCTCTTTTAGGATTTGATGTTGTGTAAGTGTGATTTTCTCACAGTAGTATTTAAGCATTTTATTGTTTGAACCAGAGCTCTTTTTCAGTTTCACACAGCTCCTAGTGAAAGAAATTTACCCAAGAGCAAAGTATATCAGGTTGAATGGACCTTGAATGATCATGATTTTAATTGAAACTTTTCAATAGATGTTTTAAAAACATTTTAAGATTAACAAAAGAAAGATCTGTACTGCTCATAAATATTCCATTTTCAACTGAAAATACGATGACCTTTTTTTATTTGATATAGTTTTGATTTAATTTGAGGATTCACAAAAAAAAATTGGTTAATTTGTACAATTTGTCAATTTTCCTTTCCAATCTCCTTTGATTGCATACAGCCCCTTGTAGGCAGGAGCTTGAATCAAACCAAGAGAAGGTCAATCTGGGTCAGAATGTGACCTCTAACCCTGTATGTAACCCCCAGGGCATGTATATACCTCAACAGTGCACCGCTGATGGTACCGAATGTTGGTGCAGTGAACCAGATGGTACCATGATACCTAATACCAAGAGAGCAAGTGGAGAATCGGTCACCTGCTGTGAGTGATTTTACATGGTTCCGTTCATTACATTTCATTCTTTCATTCTATCTGTTTTGTGTAAAAAAAAACACATGCCCTGTATTAAAGGTAATACAAAGTTTTGGGAAATTTTGAAAATTGTGTGTATAGTGATTCTTTACAATTTTTATATATTTGGATGCCCCTGTGGATGTATTATAAGCACTAGAAAATTTAGCCCCTAAAACACTTCTGCTTTTTGAGAAAACTTGAAAATAAAAATTTACCGGAGCTCCAAGTAAATTTTGATAAATTTTGAATAGCGCCTACAGCCGTACAATGGTAGCTGCGACCATGAAAATCTCAGAATATGTAGTTGTGACTATACAACATAAAGAGTGTATTATTTACAATTTCATAACTTTAGAATCTATTCAACCGCGACAACGATCACTCAATATTATAGGATCGCATATGCTCCCAATATGTTCATTTGAACCAAATTCATGACCCTATACCAAAACTTGTTATTACCTTTAACCCTTTACTGGGGGGGGGGCCTGGGAGGCCCCCCCCTCGACATTTTCGGAGATCGCGCCGCAACCGCTCGGAATTTTGAATTGTCATTTCATGACTTTTTCCCCTCAAGTCTTACGCACATTTTGATACCATTTTCGTCGAAATCGGACATACCTGTAAGGTATTACATAACAATTAGTATGCGCATGTCATCAAAAAAAGTGCTATAATTGCATATATTCATGTACAAGCAGAAATGTGAAGATATGAATTGGTATCAAATTGCTTTTATATGTTTCTCAAAGTAACTTGATGTATTTCAGAACAAAAGAATACATCAGAAATAAAACAATAGATATAATAAGAAATAAAAAACAATAAAATACGTACGAAAATAAATAGTTGAAAATCGCATCAAATTTGCATAAATTATCATTATTAATTACATCAAATAACTATTTTGTGTTAGAAAAGAAGTTTCATATGAATAATGGGTTTCAATTAACATTAAAAAAGTGGAGTATGACAATTTTTGTAATGATTCTAGTTCCCTATATATTTCCAGATTTGATATTCATGAATGAGTATTCATAATTTATGCAAATTAACTTATGCATTTTCAAAAATCATAACAATAATGAAACCTCATGAATTTGAGGTGAAGGAAACATTTATTCTATACATTTTCAAGATTCTTCAGAAGTCTAAGGACAAATATGTAGAGTTTTCAGTAATATGCATAAAATTAGCATTTTGCATAATTAATAGGCTTTAACGACAAAAATTTGCATATTAGGAAAAAACTAATTATACCATCTTGTTTCTTACGTAAATATCTACAAACATGCACATTTTCGCGTTTATCGGACATTCGACGGCCGAGATCATGGGGGGGGGGGGGGGCTTCCCAGGCCCCCCCCCCCAGTCAGAGAGTGCTCGAAATAGCCCAGTACAGTAAGGGTTAATGAAAGTATTATTAATACGCTCCCCCCCTACAACTGTGGATGTAACATGATCTAGCCATTAGTCACTACAGAGTGCAATTTTATCTTTCATATTCCAGCAACAACAATAAAAATCATACATTGGAGAGGGTTTTGTTTATTTATTTTTCAATATCCTTATTTCATTGTTTGGTAACAAAATAATGTCAGATTTAGTAAGGGATTTGGGTGGCTCTAGCCATCTATGGCACTGTGAGGAGCAAAAACAGTGTCATGATGTAGGTAGTAATCATTCTTAAAGGTAAAGACCAGTTTTGGAAACGCCCCCCCCCCCTCAAAAAATGAAATTGAAGCTCTTATTACCAGGCCTGATAAAAACCCAATTTAAATTGGTTTCCCATTTTTTTTTTTTTTTCCCGATTTGTTCCCGATTTTTTTTTTCTCTTCCGATTTAAAAAAAAAAAAAAAAAAAAAATCCAGATTTTTTAAATTTTTTTATTTTTTACCAGACTTTTTTTTCCTTCCCCTTTTTATTTCCGGATTTTCCCGATTCCCCCTTATTTTCTCTTTTCTTCCCTATTTTTCCCCCAATTTTCTTACTCGAAAGGGGGGGAATGTTGTTAGATGCCATTTTTTCCCGCGAATCCTCTTCTTTTTTTTTAACTCAAGGGGGGCGTGGTTGAGGGGAAAACAAAAAACCTATTTTTTTTTTAGTGCTCACTATCACCCCTGTATTACCAATCATGTGAAAGAATAGGTTTTGACTAGTACGTGATCATACAAATTTTGCAGAGAAGCTGCCTACTTATTGATATATTTAGTAAATTAGTTTATCTATTTGGATGTGATAGATGAAACGCACGTGTCGCGCACGTGTGCGTAGTCCCATATACATCTTTCTGTGTACAGTGTTTGTAACTGGGCCAAATTTCTTATCATTTTGATGATACCAGAACCTTGCAGTACACACCAATACTTATATGCTAGATGATCAACCTTTCCTGATCGATTCCACAACGTTTCTTTCACAATGCAATCGCATGACATTAACTGATCTTTATCTTTAAATCAAAAGTGCTAAACTTTCTCCATTTCTTTGTTACGTTACCCTCACAGTGGAAGTTTGTGGAGGGAGACAAGCTCTTACCACTAGGTCGTGTAACTCGGTCATTTCATGCCCTCTCAACTACGTCTGCAACTTCATGACACCTGCAAATCATGGCATCTGTTGTCTTCAGTCATAAGGTATTTAAAAAATCTATTTTTGATTGTCTTCTTGTTTTATTATCATCGTTAATGCATTATTACGGCCATGAGATGGCAAAACAACGTATCTACACAACGTCTTTTGGAGATAATCGAGTTTGAAATTTTGAAGGAGGACAGTTCTTTTAGTTTTTGTGTTTGATATCTGATATTCTGCATGATAATGACCAACGATGTTAATAACATATTCAGACCAAAATTTTCCTACTTAATCACTTAAATTACGATTTATTTACATAGTGTAAAAGATACGTTGTTTTGCCGCATGTACGGTGCGAATGGTTAGATCTGGCAAAACATTGTACGTCCTAGAATCGATATGTGTTGAGAAATCGATAGGACCGGACTAACGCGCACAGCGCAACACGCTGAGCTGATAAGAAGTGCGTTAAGAAGGGGTCCACTAACGTTATTCTGCCAGCAAAACGAGAAGGTTTTTGCCAGGGAAGAGGGGTAAAATCTCGGTAACGGGGAAATTTCTAGTTCTAGGAATTGTTGAGTAAAGGACCCCAAAAAACAACTTGGAATGTGCAAAAAAGTAAATTTGCCAAAAATTCTACTTACATTGTTTTGAAATCTCACAACTGATTACATCTTGACAGTGCTGTATTAAGATTTAAATTAAAAACTATTCATAAACTCTAGGTCTGGATTTACATAATTATTGCATTGCTGATTTGTCTTTCATTGGTTAAAGTATAGCTTTACATGGGAAAGGACAAGGCCACGTTTTATGAAACCATCATAAGTACAGTGACGTCCCATTTAAACATTTATTAAAATCACCATGCTTAAAACCGTTGGAAGATATATTGGAATTTGCTGATTATCAATTTGTGCGAGCTCAAACATGGTGGAATTCATCTTCTAATATTTGCCATCAGTACGTGTGTAATGGAGAGGGGGATGACGGGCATGGAGCCAGGACAATTAAATAAACATAATGCTTCATGTAGTCCTATTGTTTCTCAATATACAGATCTCAGCAAACTTCCATCTCAAGATCTACTTGATGATACATCTCTTGTGAGGCAACTGAAAAGGGACCGGCCTACATTATCTGTTTCTAACATTATTCAGACACTTGTAGGCTCTGAAGCAAAGAGGCAATGCATTTTGATATTCAAATGGACTAAACTCTTTTGCACTCAGCACAAAGGAATTTTTTTTGTCAGTGGAATATTTAACGGATGGCACAAAATCTGTGCTATATGCTTGTCATATTATGAGCGACCTCATTTTGAAATGTTTTTGTTTGTTTGTAGTGTAGAGTTACATGTATTTACATAACACATTTGTGCTGTAATTTTCTTGTACCGGTTCACCAGTCTGCATTGTACATAGAGCTGCAAAGTATATGTAAGGCTGTGTAATTCAGGAAGAAATATTGCCGTTTTTAAAAACAATCTAAGAATACCTGTGTGATGTTGGATATTATGTTTGGTGAGAACTGGAAGATGAGAACATTGGCAGAGTCGGTTCGTTGAGGCCATAAACAAAGGATAAAGTCTACATGTGTACATGTATGTAAATAGTTTAAATTTGATGTTACATGCATTACGAAAATATAAACGTGTACCTTTTGTAATTAGTCAAAGTAAACATATCCATGAGGACTTACTTCAAAATAATAATAATAATAATAATACATAACATTTATTAGGCGCTTAATACTGATGTTTCTAAGCGCACAGTGTTCTGATTAAGAGAAGACTATAACCCGTAGAATTAAATTAGAAGAAAAGGCAAAAATACAAAGGTAACATAGATAAGGTAAGAAAAACAGTGGCAATCAACTAAATAAAGACAAATATGGTGCGCACCTCCATTGACCGACGCACAACTGCAATTTACAATTTGAAAAGATAGGTTTTGAGTAGAGATTTGAATTGAGATACAGAGGGGGCGCAGTGAATAAAGGCGGGCAGTTTGTTCCAGAGAGCGGGGGCAATAACTGAAAAGGCGCGGTCACCATACCGGGTGTTAGTGCGGGGTCCAGGTGTTAACAGTAATGTGGAAGATGAACGAAGTGTTCGTGACGACGTACGGGAACGTAAGGATAAAATAAAACAGTGCACCATCACACAGAAATCCTACAGGTGAAATCATTAAATCCCATCAGGTTTATATAGCCAGGCTTGCAATTTTCCCATTGATGTACAAAAGGCAATGTTGATTGATGCTTACTGATTATGTTATTTAATGTTTGCATGTGCTTTGAGAGGTATATGTTGCCTGACTGTGTCTTATTTGGTAGTGTACCATTGCAGTTGCTTTTATGTTGCTCAATCTGAAATGTACAGGAAAGAAATCATATCAATTGAAATATTTTCTCCCAAAAAATATTGGAAAGTTACTGAAAGAAATCTGAATATAGGTAAAGCAATGAGGAATCGACCAAAGGAGAACTACACCACGATGCATTGTATCCATCATGTAAATGTATGCTTCTACATCGATGAAAACAAAAAGTTTGAAATTTGGAAGATTTCAACTTCCTCTGTACATGTACAAAACAACCTGACATGTACGAATAGGCTGAATTCTTAATATGGAACTGTATTTAATAGCCTTTTACTTGCCTTTTATTTGTATTTAACCGATTATTTGTATTTAGTTTTTTTTAAATCAATGTATGAATATTAACTGAAATAAACTAAACCTCGTCTCAAATGCAGTTGGTCTGTTAATACACATTAGTTTTTGTTCTTGAGGGTGTGTGCATGTGTGTGTGTGTTGGAGGGGGGAGGGGGGTCACTCCAAACATGGGTACCCATATAAGCCAGAGAAAAAGGGTCTTGTTAAAAACATCTAGCATTTATATTTTTATGTGGGGGGGGGGGGAAGAGAAACACAAGGATACAATGAACACAATGTCTTTTATACCTTTTGAATCTTTTCAATTATTATTTTTGAATGGTCAACATAAACACAGAACAGAAACACTGCATGATCTGTCTCTGAATAAGCAAATTTCATAATGAAATCAAATGCACATTTCTTTATTAAGTACCTCATTACAAATTATATTATTAATGGCATTACAATAGTCAGAAATGCAAATTGGACACATTCTTGGTTGTAAGGTAGGGCAAATATGTTTGTCTGACCGAGCAGCAACTTGTGAATGCAAATTGCACTCTGACTATTAAGATGCAATAATATATAATGGGTGAATGCAATAGCTTGTTAAAAGGTATACTTGAATACATTTTGAAAGTGGTCTATTCACATAGGTATTCTTGAATATGCATGGCATGACTTTTCCTGTGCTAAAACAGTTTCCATCAATTTTTGATATTCTTTGTCTATATCCTACTGTTCTAATTCTGCATTCAATAAATTGCTTGCCTCGGCTCTAGCAAAAAAAGAAGCAAATTGGCCAAACAGTGATTTTTAAAAATCTTTTTTTTTGTGGGGGGGGGGGGGGGGGGAACTCTGTCCAATAAGAATACGGTACCAATAGCATTTCAGGTTTTAAAACGACTCCAACCACCTAAAAACTTTTAAAAGGTTTGTTGCCTTTCAGGGAATACCAAGTATTGTGTAAGAAGAAAGGTTGTTATGAAGAGATGTTTTGAAAGAATGTGAGGTGGTACCGTTTGGTATTGTGAACACGTGTGTCTGGTTACAGGAATGTATAACGGGGTTTTATTGCAAACAAAAATGCAATCATTAATTTATAGTGGATTTATGTAGGTTCTGGGAAGTTTACCAAGAAAGTAGAGGTTACAGAAAATGCACGTAGTTTGAAACTAGCTTCTGACAACTTATCGATTTTGAGGCAACAGATCACAAATACACTATACATCTAATTGACAAGACTGGAAACAAGACAATTTGCAAAAAAAGCTATCCTATTTAATGACATGGACTGACGTCATCCAAATTTTCCATTCTTACAATCACAATTGGGAAAGTTTCTCAGCTTTCTGTTGACATACACACAAGCTTCGTATTCCTGCTAAACATAACACTCCCGGATTTAAAAAAAAAGGAATACCCAGGGTAAATTTTTAGTGGTGAGCCAAGTGTAATACTTATGTTTAATGCATACACTGTACTTCTAGGCTACGAAAATGCTTTAATCCTCTCAAATTATTCCTAGTGGAATTACTGGAAAGCTTAAAGTTTGACAGAGAGTCAGATAATTTTACTGTTTGCCAAGAAGCTTGTTGACTGCATGTATCACTAGTACTGTACTATTTCTGTGTTACCTCAGCTAAAAATGGGGTTCCCATAGACCAGATAGGTACCATTTTGGTATGGGTTGCAGCATCCAAGCGGCGTACGAATACCACGCCCATTGTCGGTTCAAACTAGAAGGCTGCCATAGCCACACACGGCCTACATCTACAAGCAATTTACATGACTTTCCATGACTTTTGGAGACTTTTCCCCCTCATTTTCCATGAATTTCCAGGTTTTGCCATGACCATGGAAACCCTGTAATGAAATAGCTTCTCAAAGGCACATAAAATGGAATGGACATCTAGGATGTGTAGAAAGCTTTGGGAATATTTACACAATTTACAACTCAACATATCTAAAAGAATATGGAAAACAAAGAGGACCAGGACCTAACTAGTGTCATGACTTAGTGACTGTTGGCGTTGCTTTGACGATGTCCGCTCTTGGTTTGTCTTTCCTTAGTTCCCATATCTGTAATATGGCAGAGAGAGAGAGAAAAAAGATCAATGAAATAATCATAAACAAATCTAGAACTATAAAGTAACATCATGAAAGGAAGGCTTTCTACGCTTTATAGTGATAATGATAAATCTTATAATGTAGTACACCAAAGCCCTTAATAAAGGACTCCAAGCCTCAGAATAATTTGGGCGCTCGCTAATCTCACCAGGGTAGATGGCATAACAAGTTATGTAGCTATCAGTAGCATCCAAATTGTGAATAAATAAAACCGACAAACAAAAACACACAATAATTTGGGGAGATACTGGACACAGTAAACTGATTTTCTGACCATTTTATTTCTTGTCCATTTATATAAAAAAATATACATTTTTTCTCACAAAAGAAGATACAATAACTGAAATTCAGAAACAATAGAATTATCATCAGATAACCATTTGTACTAAAAACAGATATTGATTGTTGCAATATAATTCATCCTCCTTGCTTAGTTGCTGGGTTGTGATGTATTGGTGGTTTTTGAACATTCTGGCAACATTATAGAGTTCCATAAAAAACCACTAGGTACAAAGTAGATACTCACTTGAATGTACGCCTCGGATAGCGTGATCAACTGCGGGAGAATGTCTGCCACATGCAAGTCTTGAATCTCAAACCACTTTCCTGTCGGCTACAACAACAACAAAAACAACAACAACAAGAGTTACAAAAATTATGACAACAAAGTGATATCCATAGAAGGCACAGTATTTGTTGTCTGCCTGGCAGACAGAGTAGAAACAAAATGTTGTCTTTTTAAAAAATTTTGTTCGTTGTAATGAAAGGATGAAGAAAATAGATATCATATAGAGAACTTTTCACTTCTACATACATACATTGTATGTTGATTCAACTGAAATGATAGGTTGAACAAAGTCATTTGGTGTTTATTTTTGTAGACTATATCACAAATTTTTTTTCTTTAAAAACAAATTTCAAAGGGAACATTAAAATTTCCTACAGAAAACGTGGGTTTTATTGCAATTTCTAGAGTCTGTATGCAGAAATTGAATATGACATTCAAGAATATTAATTATATTATTTACCAAAACAAATACTACATTACATTTAAATAAATTCGGTTAAACTGACATGACATGACTGAAACAATCTGGACATACTTTCAGTTTAGAGCTAGAAGGGTATTATCTCACATCATTTTACAAACACCCTCCCATCTCTAATTCTAAATGGGCGAGAGAAAGCCCTAAATGTAAGTTATTCATTTATGATGTTACAGTATACCATGTCCAATTGAGTACCGAAGTGCAAACGTCATATTCACTCTTCGTTCAGGTTACTGGTTCTAAACAACAGAGCCTACACATGTGAAATCATACAAGCAAAGAACTGGAGGGAGCAGGGCAAATTCAGTGTTTGGGGCTGGTGTGATTACCACACCATTGTTTAGCACAATATTGTTTGGAACCAGCAACCTTGACAACTTTGCTTTAATATATGACGTCACACCTCGGTACTCTATGGACTTTACACATAAATGTAGTTGCCTTTGGTTCACTTACCCTGTGTATTACATGGGCTTTGAATGCCCCCTTGCCTCTGCCCGGTTGACCCTGATGGACGATATTGGCTACCAGGTCATAGGTCGTGTACTTGTGGGCTGCAAGAACTTCAGGTTCATCTAATAGCATTTCTGCCAGGTCAATATTCCTGTAGGGATATAGGAATGCAGCAATATAAAGTGAGAATTTGAATTCCACTCCATACATGGTCTGTGCTTTTGATCTATAGGTTAGTATTCCCTAAAGACTTTTGCAGATATGATGCAGTAAACCGCAGCATAAAACCACCAAGTTTTGTAAACATAAACATTTTAAAGCCTATCTGCACTAATTTGGCCAGGAGGGATTAGAACTCCCTGCGTGATCACTGGCAAGTGGTTATCTCATCAAATCAGCTCTCAATTAACATAAGAAAAAGGTCATCATGGAGGATCAACGGGTATCGCTTAGGCATTGTTGGCTGTATAGAGGGCGCAAGTAGCTACAAGTAGTGCAGTCCCGCTTTATACGTGTATACATAAATCTCAAGCATACTTTACGTCATCATAACAACAATTTTGCGGTTTTGCTGTGGAATATCTGAACAAGCCTTGCAAGATTGGGTGAATGTGGGAACAAACTTGATTATAAAGTGAGACAATTTGTGAATTTCTAAATATTGCAAAATTACAAAAGAAAAGCTCAATTTGATTGCTGCATTGGATTTGTTTAAATGATGGAATGCACATGAAACAAAGACCAGTCCATAATATATCATGAGTATAGCCCTAATATAATTGTCCCATATAATATGTGCAAATATATCAGTTGAATTAAACCAATTTCAAAATTTGACATGCAGAGAGTAAGTACATATCTACATTTAAATTGTTTGAATTACCGGTAGGCTTTTCTGAATGACTCTGAAATGAAATGATTATCTGACACCCTCTTACTGATTTGGGGCATATTTCACAAAAAATGTTACACTCACTTGACAGGAAAGTTGACGATGGTGGGATTTTTCTCTACAAAGAAGGTATTCTTAGTGAAGCGTTTCATGCATAGGATGAGGTATGGTGGAAGCTGAGTCAGCTGATAGCGCTTGACAAATGATTCCTTGTACGTCTTGTACTCCTGCAATGATTGAATTTAAAAACAACAACAAAAATGAGAAATTATAAACAATTATATTAAAGGCATCGTTTAACAATCTTAAATCGCTTCAAAATGATCACGAAATGCCTCAAAAAAAGTTAACAACTTTGAGTGACCGGTTTTACCATACTCCTTTTCCCCAATAGACTGTAGTGTATTAAAAACTGTTACGGAAAATGAATTTAAAAATTTAGATTTCTAATCATAAATATCTTGATAGTCAGACAGGCGATCGGCTTGTAAAAGTCATGGGGTTCCTGACTGACCTGAAGGTTTATAATTATCATTGCAGCATGAGCTAAATCCAGGATTTTGTTTTAGAATCTGGGACAAAGTTACCCAATCCCTTTAAGCTGGATTTATATTAGGCTAGATACAAATTCTCCAAGACCTTTGTAAATGTTACCCAGGTCAGGCCATCAGATTCATTTAAACATAACAAGTGACACATCTCCACTCCCTGGGGAGTATTTAGGCCTACCACATGATCATCATGAGCACATTGCTTTTGGCATTCTACTGTGTCTCCACTTCTTTCCTGGGAACAGAGTATAAATGTCTTCCCAATCTTTTTCTTGACATATGTTTAACACGAGGGCATTTGAACAGCAATCCATTTAGGGGATGTTTCTATCTGGGCCTGTTGCATAAAACTTACCATTGATGGTAACTTTGCCATCAATGGCAACTACCACGGAAACCTTGATTTTGATTGGCTGTTGAGCCCTGGTAGTTGCGATTGATGGCAAAGTTACCATCAATGGTAAGTTTTATGCAACAGGGCTCATAACTTACTTCCTATCTGATATAAAACGAAATGGAAAAACTCACAAATGACTCTTCATGTTTTTCAGAACTCTAACTTTCTCTTTAACTCATAGCCTGCCATGAGGCTGCATGCACGCTATCGTTATAGTGCTTTGTACATGCGAGAGAGCCATCGCTTGAGTGCCATGTGCGTGCAAGGGCGCATTCCTAATAGCAGTTATTGTTCATGCTTATTGGACTGTGCTGTGTGTTTTGCACTCGCTATTCATAGATCCATCACGTTAATCAGATTATCTCCAAAACAACCTTGCACAGGGGGATTTGGGGCTTGGCACAATGGGGATTAGCCCTGTGGCATGATAAGAGTTAACTAAGCACTATGCTAAGAAACTTGGGAGTATGAAGACTAATTACGCCCCAAAGAAAGAGACAGAGACATAGATAAAGACCCAAAGTGAGAACATACCTTCTCCGTCTGCCCATCAAACTTGGCAAGGAGTGATGAAAGTGGAACCTGAGGAATGATGTTCTGTTCTAACTCATCCTTGAAGAGAGGTGCAGGAGGGATGTCAAGTGATAGGAAGAGGAACGGTTGATCTTGCTCCGTCTCTGCAAAGGAGAAATAATACAAGCGGGATAAGCATCATTGTATGGAGGATACATGCGACTATCACACTGATTTTAAAATTCTATTAAAGGCATCGTTTAATAATGTAAAATCTGAGATGCATGGTCCTAGATGCATGGCCCGATGACCAGGGTAATAATATATATCTGTAAAGCACATTGAGAGGGCCTGCGGTCCTGAAATGCGCTATATAAGGACGAACTATTATTAATATAGGGATTATCAGTGTCTGTGATATCGTTTTATATTGAAGCCCTAAAAAAACTGCGCTTCAAAATGATCATGAAGTGCCTCAAAAAAGTACAATCTTTGAGTGACCGGTTTTACCATACTCATTTTACCCAATAGACTGTAGTGTTATAAAAACCGTTAGGTAAAGGGGAATGAAATTTCGATTTCCAATCATAAATATCTTGATAATCAGACAGGCGATCAGCTTGTAAAAGTCATGGGATTCCTGACTGACCTAAAGGTTTATAATTATGATAGCAACATGAGCTAAATCCAGGATTTTGTTTCAGAATCTGAGGCAATATTACTGAGTCACTTTAAAGAGGTGTCTTCTTCCCGTCGATAAGTTATTAGGGAGTTGACTAAAAGGTACAGATAATTCTACTTGAGATGTGACCCCTAGGGGCAGATCATTTGAAGAGAGATGCAGGAGGGCTGTTCTTGGACTACTTCTGTTACGGTGAGAAAACATAAAATACCATGTCACTTTGTCCAATCTCCAAAGAGTCTAATCACATTTTTTCTCAAGCAACTTCTATATCAATAATTTCTAACCACATTCCTAGGAGGGTGTACTTATTCTCCTTTCCACACTGTGGGTGACAAATCCTGTCGAAGAATTAGTGTTCAACAATGTGTTAAGCCTCCAGAATGTATACATTTGGTGTTGTGTAAATATGATTTACATGTACTCAGAATGATATTTAAAGGGAACCAAAACCTTCATACTAAGTTACTTTTATTGTTAAGTTTAAGATATTTGAATAAAATCAGTGAAAATTTGAGCAAAATCGGGCAAGGAATAAGGAAGTTAAAGCTTTTTGAAATGACTAGTCATTAGAGGGTGATATTCAATTTGATGACATCATTTGTGGACAACTCTCCATGCCTTTTATACATCAAATTTCACAATTCTTTCGTTTTCTTCGTATTTATTTGTGTTCTTGATCCGACTTCATAACATGTGAAGTAGAATATCATTTTGCATCTATACCTTGCTTTCAGGGGAGGAGATTATCGCAATCACAAGAAAGAAGGAAAAACATGACATTTTATGTGCAAAAGGCATGTATTTTTTTTCACTGCTCCACTTTACCTTTATATTCTTCAGTCTTGAGTAGTTTGGCCTTCTCCTCATCTGAGACGTCCGCAGGAAGCACCTTCTTGGTGAAGATTTTCATCCTACCCTGGAACGTCTTGTAGACGATACTGCTGTTGTGTTTCTTAGTGCCTGCCAGTGAGGAATGGAGCGCATTGATGAACCAGGATAGCACATCAACAGGATCACCTGATACATGGTGGTAGAATTCAAATTTGATTAAAAAAGCAGTTTACAAGTCCACTGCTTGAAAGATGAAGTTGAGTTCTGGTCATGCGATTGCATTGTGAAAGAAACGGTGTGGAATCGACGAGAAAAGGTTGATCATCTAGCATATAAGAATTTGTGTGTATTGCAAGGTTTTGGAGTCATCAAAATGATAAGAAATTTGGCCAAGTCTAGGTAAAGTTACAAACACTGTACACAGAAAGATGTATATGGGACTACACGAACACGTGGCATAAAAATCCGACCCTGGATTTTTAAATTGTTACATGAAATATTTAGAATATGAAGGCATTTGAAGAGCCATGCTTTTCAGGGAGCATGTCTTATCTGATGTTCTTCCACACTTGCATAATAAGAATGATAACGCTCACAAATTATTTTTCACCACTTCCCAGAACTCAACCTTCTCTTTAATCATAATAGGTTGGAATATTTTGATGCTCTCTCAGTCGGAATGGTTGAATTCACCCCTTGGGATGTCGGCCATGGGATGACAGAAAATTCTTCAACTTAGCATTGGAACAATACAATCATGTATCAAGAAATATTAGTTTTGGTCGTGTGAAGCGCCTAAACTTCTCATGCTGAACGATACCCTTCAAAATGGTATAAATTTGGTATTAAAAAAAAAAAATTGAAATTGAAAAAAAAAAAGATTATCCTTAAACGTATTACGATGGGCGTCCAGGGGGTTGTGGATGCTTCAATTACTTTACTAGAAGGTGCTAAAAAGAAACAACTAGAGTACGAACAAAACTTTCCAGTATAGATGAAGTTCATAAACATACCATAACACTCCAAGATATAGAATGGACAAGAAATTCAAATTTGATTCTGACCTTGTTCTGTGATTTGGAATCTCTTCTTGCTGCACAGCACGATGGCTTGTAACATCTCATGAGGGCTGACGTGAGCCTTGAAGTTTCGCTGGTTCCACATCTTACGCATCAACTCACCAAACCTACAGGCACCAGCAAAAGTTGATCAGGCAGACAATAAATAAAAGGAGATTATACATTATCATGAAACATAAAAGGAAATATACAGTTTAATAACAACTAAACTAATCATACCCTTATCAATTTTTGTAAATTTTTAAGTACCGTATGCGAAAATTAATTAGTCTCGATTAATGAGAATGTGACATATTAAAGCTTACATGTAAAAGTATTCAACAATGGCCCTAATTCAACCAATCCACCCTTCATTCTTAAGTTACAAACAAAAAGAAAAATATCAAATTTAGAAGGGGTATGAATAATTTAGTTGGTAACTGTACATTCAAAAATGTACATATGAATTGGTTAGGTATCCACCTGGCAATGGCATTGTGTACAATATACATGTTCTCTGAACCTAGTAGCAAATTAGACAGTATACTGGGCTACATAGTCACATTGAAAATCATAACATCACTTTATTTCTAGTACTACACTCTGTAGACTGTATTTACCATAACATAAAAATATTAATTAAATAAATCTTGGTGGTCATAAAATATATGTAAGTTCACTTGTAGTGCGATAAAAATAACACAACTACAGAATGTTCTCATGCCATGACGTGCATTTAGCTAACTCTGTAAGTTAAGAGCTATGATCGGATCGGATGATCCAATCCAGGTATTGGATCGACAGATCGGGAGGGTTTTTAATATTTTTTAATCTGCCTCCAAAAAATTGCTAAAATTTGATGATTTTGAGCACACTAAGACCTTAAATCACTCATACCTCGGACAATTGTCTCATTGTTTGGCATTCAACAATAAGGGGATAGAGCAACGTCGATCTGGCGCTGCTCAGTGGCTGCCGGGCTCACGATCAATTGGGCAAAAAGAATTTCTGTTTCGGTTTAATAAAATTTGGAGTGGACTATTAGGTTATTATTATTATTATTATTATTATTCAAAGTTGTTGTAGTCCATGTTAAAAGCTATTTTCATGCCATTAAATGTCAAAATTGAATAATTATTTGGGGGAAACAAAATAAATATCAAATAAGAGAGTGAAAAAGAAAAAAAATAGAAAGCCAACCTTTGAGATAAGATGCTCATGATGTTGCCAGGAGGCAGCTTAATATCACCATAGTTCTCCTCCCGCAAGAAGTAATTCCTCATCGGCACAACACCAGACAAAGCCTGGAAGAAGGAGGAGGAGGTGGGGGAGAAAATAATATAAACAAATCACAACATCCTCACATGCTTCCAAAATATTGGCTTATGCTACGGTCACAAAAGGTTCGTACAAATGATAATTTCATACAAATCTTCCTGTTTTTCCATTGTTTTCCTGAATTTCCATCATCTGAAAATCGTTCGTACGACGTTCGTAGCAGTTCGTAATGGCATTTGTGACCGAGGCTTAAGATGTGCATCCAGGATTCATTTCAAGGTCATAGAACTGTTCATGAAGCTTGTGTTTAGACTTCAATTACAACTCAATGCCTGGTAATAATAATAATAATAAAGATAATAAAATAATTATAATAATAATAATAATAATAATAATTATAATAATAATAATAATAATTATAATAATAATAATTATAATAATAATAATAATTATACTCCTAATAATAACAATCATAATATAATGATAGTAATACTAATGATAAAAATAACATGTAAGATTTATGAGGCACCAAAAACCACTTGAAATCAAATATTCAAAGGTGCACCAGAACTAAAGTTAAAATCACAGTAAAAGCATCTTCACTGTACTACAGGAAACTGCAGGAGTAAAATAGAAAATACAAAAATCAAAGAGAACAATTTTAATATTGTTCCATCTGTTTAAGAAAAAAATTGTCTATAATCTTGTTCTTGCAGACCATCTGAAAGATTTACTACAGAATTAGATTGGAAGGGAATCCCCCTTTATACAGACTTACATGAAGGGGAATCCCCCCTTTCCACGGACTTACATGTAAGAGAACATTGCAGTAATCATTCTCCTTGATGTTGTTAAGTCCTACTATACCAGCAGTGTACATGGTGGTGTCGTAAGCTCGACATGTTTTGGGATCCTTGTCTAGTAGTTTAATCTGTTTCTTTGTGAAGGTTGGCTTCAGAACATACTGGAAAAAGGGAGGATGAAAATTAGAAATGTCAGGCACACAGATATATTTCATAAAGCACTTTAAAATAACCGATCAAAGCATTTTATTAGATATGGAATTATGGCAGATGCTGGATTCCACTATCATTAAGCATTTACATTGAAGATTCTTTATTCCTTGGGGAGAACTCAGAAAGCTTGTCACCATTTGAGAGTGTTACTCATGTTAATTCAACCATAATCTATATATCCTATTTGTATACACATACAAAGAGACAGAGACACACAAAAAATCCCAAATATAAGCAGTATTTGTCGCACTAAAATTTTTTTTTTTTTTTAAATCCTCAACCCCCCGCCCTGAGTAAAAGAAAAACTGCATTTAACAACATTCCCCCCTTTTGAGTAAGAAAATTTGGAAACAAATTGGAAAAATAGGGGTAAAATCGGGGGGGGGGGGGGGGGGGGAATCGTGAAGCCGATTTAAATCAGGCAATTATCAGGCCTGCACACCTGGCAAAGAAATATTTATGAATCAATACCATTATAATAAGAAAGAGTTTAATTGGAGATTATGTAAAGAATTTTCTGTGGAAGAGGGCTTAGGCTCAAGTCATCAAGGATAGAGGTATATTTTTAGCTGTTTTTTACCACCAAAAGTAGGAATAAGCATCATCATCATTATAATCATATATTAAAATCAGCAGCATTTCCCCTCTGACAAGAGGTTTATGACTTTTGTGCCAAGACACCAACTCCCTCAACTTCTTTTTGTCTCAAGCATCCTCCTCATTTAGACCAACAGGAAAGAATTTAAAAAAACTTACAGTGATATCCTCCAGTGAGGAATCGATGATCTCATAGTTGTCGGGCAAGCAGTAGAACTTGAGGGTGTGCAGGTTAAGGAACACATGGTGATTGATGTAGACGCTGTGTGTGTATGCATGGGACTTCTGTCCACGACCTGTTGGTAAGAGAGAGAGAGAGTCATGAGATAGAGTTAGATGCTAAAGACAAAGGAAAGACAGATATCATATCATTTTATTGCTCTCTATTGCATTGATACACATCTCAATATACATTACCCCCAAAAAATGGATTTGGAAAAGATAAAGAAAAAAAATCTACAAGAAAAAATATATCCAAAGGAGTCCATTAAATTTGTTTTAGATTTTAAATAAAATAATATTGTTATTAACTATTGTTACTATTAAATATATTTAATCAATCCTGATGTTGCGGAAACAACTTTCCTGTGTTCTCCGATCCTGTGCTCAAATTTTGCTTGTATTGTTTTCTTATCCTTTAATGCCCTCTCCTTTTTTTGATTACCGGGTATATATATATTTTAATGATAGAAATATGACCTACGTGTATGAATTTTCTATATTCTTTCAAGTGACATAAACCTGTTAACATTCAAATGAGAGATAGAGACAGATAGAAAGCAAATTCATTTACCTTGAAAGTATTTTCCGCAGACAAGACACGCGTACACATTCAAATGAGACAATGAGACAGAACACAGCTTCTCAAAATCAAAATCCAACAGGCCTCTGTTTGAAGGACAAAATAGATTATTGTGACAATGTAGAAAGATAAAAACATTTGAAAAGTATTTAAAAGTAATATTTGAGCAATTCAGATAATATTCTTCTACAATGATAGACTGTATATCCAAGACCATATTTCACTTATTTATTTTCATCTTACAGTTATGATTAGCATAATGCTTTAATAAAAAGATGAAAAAATGATTTTGGTAGAAACATTAAACATGCATTATATTACTTTAAAAAAGGCTACCGGTATACACGATTAGACAAAAATAACCGTCTGGTATAGGTAATTCTTTCTTAAAACTGACATTTGTCAACCTTCCTCACACACAGACGGTATCGTTCGCATACTGTTCAATGTATTCAACTGTAATCTGGTCAACGTACTAAAACAAAGACGATGGCAAATCAGATCATTCAGTTTTTGCTATTTAAAAACAAAATATGGAGTGTAATATTGCAGCCAAAGTGGATATAAGACGTACAGAGTGAAAAACCTTGTAGCATTTCATTCATCTCTGTTCGGCTGAACCAACCCATTCCCTCCACACACTTTCCAATATTAGAGTCTACAGTATGCACAAAGGCGGTCAGTGGAGCCAGATGTAGTTTCAGTGGAACAACCGTCGATATATCAGAGACTGAAGCTTTTGGTCAAATACACGGTATACATTGTTGCGGCTGTTACCAAGTATATTTAACAAAAAATTTGCAACTACGGTTAATTTCAGTGAGCACTATAGACACCTTTTACCTTCCCATCTAAATCATGTATTAGCTTTCTCACCTATTGATGGTGTCCAGATAGGGGCAGCTCCTACTCTTGTCCTCTTTGGTTCCTTTAGGAGTCTTGGAAGGAACTGCTGATTGACAGAAATATTCAGATAAGTCAAAGATATAAATATGTCATTTAAGCGCAGAGCCAATATGGAAACTATTTCCTATTTGGGTGACTGTCTTTAATTTCAGAGCCTTTTGCCAAGATTTTTGGTAGTCTATTTTAATACCGTATTACTATAGCCTTTTGACCATCTACTTTAAAAATGGTCTTTCACTTTTTGTTTTTATAACGTTTTTTGTTAGATCCACAAACAAAACAATCACATATGATGGGCTCCTAACCACAGTAACAGTTTTTTGGAGTATTTTTCCTAAAAACAAATAATAATAATAATAGCTAGTTCTTATATAGTGCTTTTCAGGACCGAAGGCCCTCTCAAAGCGCCTTACATTTACAGATATATATATATTATTACCCCGGTCATTGGATTCTGGCTTACACGCACACAATGTATGCACATTCTCATAATATACACTTTCTCACAGGTTTCATGGCAAACCGCTGCATGATACGGACGGTTGGTTGCACGCACGCTTGCATGAAGTCAGCAACCGTATTGATGATGATGATTATCATGAAGTGAATTAGACTTAAGTTTATACAAAAGTTATGCCTAGATCTAGGTCTATATGAATTTGAAAAGGATCTGAGAATTATTTAGATTACAGTCGCTAATTTCACAGGCGCGTGCGCCTCCACCTACCCCTGCCTATGGTATGCACTTGTATTGTGCAGCGGTTTGCCATGAAACCTGTGACTGTGAGGAACCCTATATCGGCCTCCTAACAACCTGGCAGATCTTTGGGACCGCCTTTAGGTCAACATTGACCAGAATCAGTCTGTTTCATCGAGTTACAGGGGATTCTTTCTCACAGGGGGCTTCAACATCAATGTCTCTGATCATAATGCTGATGCTACCAGATTGCTGTCTATGCTGGAAGCGGTGGATTTATTGCAGGAAGTATCTTCATCCACACGGTCTTCCTCTCGTGACCCTTCAATAGGCTCCATTATTGACTATCTTTACTCTTATCCTCCAGATTTATAGGAATCTGTTTCTACTGAACCAAACCCTGTGTGTAGCGACCATTTTTCTGTATTCTTCAAACTGAGATCACCGAAACCGTACGCTTGCAGGAATACTCTACGTGAATTTCTTCTGATTAAGGCAGCTGACTTTGACCATTTTAACTAGCTCCTTGGCATCTCTTTTTTTATGCCAATGACATCAATGCCATATTTTTCATGCTGACTCCTGTGACGAGATTCCCCAGAAACTAATCCAAACCTTCGATTACGAAGGAAATAAAGAAGCTGATCACCCACAAGCACAATTCATTTAAGCATGCAAAGTGATCCACAAGATTGGGAAAAGTTCAAAGCTGTTTGCAATGATACAAAGAACGCAATTAATGCGAGCTAGCTACTGGATGTATGTAAATAAGCTCTTCGCTATCCCGGACAACAGTAAGCATTTTTTTGCATATGTCAGATCTAGGAAGAAGAGCACATCTCCTCCAGTTCTACTCGTAGGCGGGGCAGTCATTAATAAGCCTAGTGACATAGCCAACAGCGGCGTTGGAGAATTCTTCCAGTCAATCTACCCTCCTCCATGTGTGTTGCTCGATGGTCCTAGTGCATGTGATCATGCACTACCTCATTTTCACTTCATTTCGATTTCAACTCGGGACATTTACAGGGGCATCATGCAGTTACAGGACAAGAAAAGTCCTGGCCCTGATTTAATCACTCCCATTCTTCTCAAGAAATCAGTGGATGAAATATCTCATATCTTGCAAAGTCTTTTTGATATGTCACTCAGCCAACGATTACTACCTGAAGGACGGAAATCTGCAAATATTGTCCCAGTGTTCAAAGCTGGGGATAGATCAATTGTTTCAAATTATCGCCCGGTCGCGTTAACATTTTTTCGTCATCGAGGTGATGGAGTCTCTGATTTTAAAAGCGATCTCTGACCAGAAGCTTTCTCTCTATAACATCTCAAACGATATCGGGTTCTGGATCCGTGCATTTCTATCTGGCAGATTGCAATGCGTCCAACACAAAGGACATTACTCTGAGTGGTCAACACCTACCTCTGGTATTCCACAATGGAGTGTCCTAGGACCATGCCTGTTTAACCTATTCATTAACGACCTCCCTGAGGTTATTTTATCAAGATGTGCATTGTTTGCAGATGACACTGTTATTTTGTGACCTATCCATGACCCCCATACATGTAGATCAGCACGCGCTTTAAGATGATGTCAATGCTCTTGCGGACTGGTGTGACAGAAACAAATTGAGTCCTAATACCCCCAAAACCAAGGCCATGAGAATATCCTGGAAAAGGCACCTGGGCCAACCGCAGTACTATCTCAATGATATGCAACTGGAGGTGGTTACTAAAACCAAGTACTTGGGTGTCATCATAAACAATCGCATGTCTTGGGATACCCATGTTGGGTATGTCGTCTCTCGAGCAAATCGCTTACTTGTGCTGATAACCAGCCTGGCCATGGAGCTTTCATCAGTGGCTGTGTTCAGCTTGTACAAGAGTCTGGTCCTCCGAATCCACGAATATGGCCTTCCTGTTTGGACACCGCACAAAGTAGGATCAATCAACAGACTTGAGTCAATACAGCGCAGGGCAACACGTCTTGCCTTGGAGCAACGGCGAGGCCAAATGACCTATGAGAAACGTCTACAAATGCTGAATTGGACTTCTCTCAAGTTGAGAAGGACTTATTGTACAATGGCCTTCATTACTAAGTGTCTGTTCAAACACATCCAATGCCCTGTTGTGAACTCTCTCGTTGTAGTGAACCCACGTAATTTGGAAGACTGAAGTTCAGGCATCTCTTTTCACGCAAAGATGGACTGCATTTCAGTGCAATACATGAGTTCCCCAGGCTGTGGGACACTCTACCTTCTGACCTCAGTTCTTACTGTTTCTTTTTCCACATGATGCAGTCACTTACAATCCAATCTTGCCGATGCACCTTGAGCTTGATATGACAATGATTGGTTTATATATTTATGTAATAGGTCTATATCTGAATTATAATTAGATCTAGATCTATGTATTAATTCCAGTAAATCGATTTATCTATATAGGCCTATATATACATTTATATTTCTGTTAGTGGTAAAATAAAATGCTATTTTAAAGGCCCCATTAAATTTAAATGTTCCCTCTCAGTTGAGTAATTACTTAAGTTTAAATGTCCAATACTAGATCTAGATCTAGATCTAGATCTATTATGAAATCTCAGATATTTAGCTTAGCAGTGCAATATAATTAGGGTGTCTGATCGCGCACCCGATGTTGTGTGCTAAAATTCTTCCCATAGAGATTACACGCATCCCTATGCAGTCTACG